AATTTCAACAAAGAAGTTGGGGGCGTGATAAATGTTGATCAGCACAGCCAAACAATTGTTTATGATGGTATGGAAGCTGAAAGTACCTGTACTGATGTCGAAAGCAATACACTAGTAAAAACTGCTGTGGAACTATCTAGCCGATCGAAGGATGACCAGACAGGAGATACTCACATGAACCCGATTTTGACTACCGAAGAGCAAGGATTACAAGAGAATGGAGACAGCCATGGCCCAACTCAAAAGGAAGATGCAACACAAAATTCTTGTGTTAACACAGTTGATGCTCTGGAATTTCCCTATCCAAGCTCTTTAGATGCAATATCAGAAATGGAAATTGAAAATACTGAGATTGTATCTGCCGGATTGCCATCTGAAGTTGATTCCCCCAATTTGAAGTGCACGGCCGAATTTCCTGATACTTGTGTTTCAGTCTTATGCGATGATGTCACAACAGCAACTATTGACATACATCCTGAAAATGGTGTGCTCGGTATGTTCATCTTACACTCCGATCTACATCTGATCCTTTTCAATCACGGCTCTGAGAGGACTTAGAGGTGTAGTTTACATATTTTGCATCTCTAATCTTTCTTTACAATCCAGGAGAATCGAGCAGTGCATTGGAAGACATTAATGGAGCAAAGTCTAGAGGCCTCACCCTAGAAGAAGCTGCGGACTCCATCCTCTTTTGCCAATCAATTGTCCACAATCTGGCATACGAAGCAGCAAACATAGCAATAGACAAAGAGAGCCCACCGGTGGAAGTTCTTCAACCGGCACTAACATTCATGAGCAAATCCACCCCGGACAGAAGAGAAATGCGATCAAGAAAGCACAGCTCTAAACAGAAAGCCCGGCAAAAAAAATTGGAAGCAAATCATCCTAAACTTCCTTTTATGGAAGAAAACCATGCGAAGTCCACTCCCCGCGTCGTTGTGTCTCCAAGTAAGGGCGACACCTCAATTCCTCCGAAGCTTGAATCCAAGTGCAACTGCACCATCATGTAGCTGCGGTTCGACTCAAGCATCCGGTAACTCCTGTGCTTGTTTTGTTGTCATTTTAAAGCTGCTTGGATGAGTCCCGATTGCTTCTCATTTTTTATTTTGATATATTTTCACCAAGTTTTAACTTTTCTATCGAATATATATATATATATATATACAATTTGATTGTAAAGATGTAGAGGCTGCTGATATGATTGATTGATAGTAGTTTAAGTGTAGAAGTGCAATTTGAGGTGTGGTCCTGATTGGTTTCCTCCTATTGCCATATTCTTGTTAGTCTTTGGCTTTGTTGGTATTGTTTGGTTGGGTTCTTGGTAAGATTAGCAAAAATGGATTTTTATTATTATTATTATTATTTGATAATGTGGTCGAATTATTCTTGATGGTACAGGGAAGTGCATTTTTAGAGTTCCTTAAATAATAGTATGTATGATTATTGATTCTTGGTCTTTGTAATTGTGCTATAATATAATGATGATGATTTAGAATGAAATATTTGTGCTGTTGAGTAGTCGAAAGAAATTAAGTTTACTAATTTGGTATGATTTAGTTTATAGCTTGTTTGAATGCAATAATTCTGAAATTCGATCAAAATGATTGAATGATTTTTATTATTATTATTATTATTTATTTATTTATTTTTTATTTTTTTATTATATATATATTTTTTATATTAGGGTGTATAATCAAAATTGATTATATCGGGACTAAAATTAATTTTTTCTCTAAAAAATAATGTTTCTTTTATCCTAAATTAAAGTATATATATTTTTTTATATGTCTCACTTAAAAGTATCAATTTCATATTATAGTAAAAATAATCCTATATTAATATCTAAATACTTTTAATCTTTAAGGTTACATAAATTATAAATATATAATTACACATACAATTAATTTATATATAAAATACAAAAAATGATAATAAAAAAAATACTATTAACATGCTCATTCCCTTAAAACCCATTTTCCTAAAAAAATTTTAATATACTATGCACACTTATTATTTTTATATTACCTATTACACAATTCCTTATATATCATAAATATATATATATATATATAGATCATCCAAACTCTTTCACTAGACAAACAAACTCTAAAAATATCAAAATCATCTTTTATACTTTTTAAATTTATTATAATTTTATTATTTTCAATAAAAATATATTATATAATTCAATAAAATATTTATATATAATTATTGTTTCACTTAAAAACAATAAAATTAAAAATATGCAGAACAAGAACATACTAGTGTGTAATGCCAATGTCCTAGTTTAGTACAAACAAACCAACACTCTATTTAACTTAAGGTTGTAGTATTTGTTTAGTATTTAAATTTTGAAATATTTATTATTATTATTATTACGAGAAATTGTGAAATTATTAATAATTATATTTGACGTCTTTTTATTATTATGTATATATATATATATATTAATTTTTTTGTATTATTATTTAAATTAAAGTCGTACGGTATATTTTTAAAACACTACACTTTTAATTGTTTTAATTTCCTTAAAAGACAATGCCTATTTTATGTGTCCCCTCGCATCACATGCCTCCCACCACATTTCATTTTTATTTTTATTTTTATTTTTATTTGTATTTGTATTTATTTTATTTTATTTTATTGTATGCTTTACCTTTTATTATTACATACACACAAATATACTCACGTAGGAATGTATGTATGATTGTTTCCTCCCAACCCTTCCAAAAGTTGTAGTGTCTCTGTCCCATAACTAAATATCAATTTGCTTTTTGAACATAGTTTTAAAAATATTAATATTATATTAGGATATAGTATGAATAAAGTAGAAATGACTAAAATAATTTTATTAGTATGTGTGATATAAAGGTAATGATATTTGTGTAATATATTGTAAGTTGTAGGGGTATTTGTAATATTAGGCAGATAAATTGATACTTTATTTTGAGACAGACTAAAATAAAAAATGGATACTGCGACAGAGGGAGTATAACTATTCTATTGATATAATTTTAGTTAATGATCAAATACATGTATTTGGATTGGGGAAAAAGTGCTAGACGAACGTGGCCATTAAATATATCTATATATATAATATATATTTAATTATATATTTTTTAAAATAAATAATAATAATATTAAGATTGATTAATTTAATTAATTATACATATATATAAATTGGATGGCACATGGGCTTAGATTGTCATTATTAATCCCCTCGTATATATAATTGATTCTTACCACTATCAAACAAATTAAAAGTCCCCTCTTTATATTTAATAATAATTATAATTTGTTGGTCTTATTAATTTATAATATTAATAATCAATTTTTAATATATAAAAAGAAATAATTAAACTTGTTTGATCGGTTTTGGAGTTGGTAATTTATCATCTCATTGTTGATAGATTCGATGTTTCATATGGATCATTAATTTTTTTATCTTCTTAATAATAATAATAATAATAATAATAACTTGTTCGTGGTTCCAATAATTGATTAAGTGATCATCGATCGATTGATGGGTCAATAATGTTGAATATATCTAACATAGATTAAACAAAATATATGAATTTTTTGTTTTTTTTTTTACTGTGAAAGACTTCTCCACTTAATATCAATTGATTTTAGATTGAAAATCTGGATCACTTCTTACCAATTAAATAATTGCTTTAACGTGATCGATGATGATGGATATATTATTATTATTACTCCCTCCGTCCCAGAAATAAATATTCATTTGCTTTTTTTTTTACGTAGTTTTAGAAATATTAGTATTATATTGGGATATAGTAGGAATAAAATAGAAATGACTAAAATAACCTTGTGATATAAAGGTAATGATACCTGTGTAATATATTGTAAGTTGCAAGAGTATTTGTAACGTTAGTTAGATAGTACAATTACTAAAAAAAAAAACAGAAATGAATACTTTTTTATGGGACGGACTAAAATGAAAAAATGAATATTTTGTTACGGGACGGAGGAAGTATTATTATTGTTGTTATTATTATTATTTGTTAATAATAAAATGATATGCAAATATGGTAGTGATGATGAGTTAATGAGATGAATGATATATACTTAGCATGTAATTCATCAATGCAATAAATCAAATCTCTTTCTTTTTATGATCATCATTACATATCATTGGATCTCACCATCATCACTATCATCATACATGCAATGATGAGAGAGAGAGAGAGAGAGAGAGAGTGTTCAATCTTGGAGAAGATCATAATTAATTACTATCTCGTCCCACTTAAATGATTCATTTTAGCTTAAACTCAGAGTTTTAAATATTGAGTAATTATTAAATAATTAAAAAATTTATTAGTAAAATAATTATAAATTAAAATTAAGATAACTAAATAGTTTATTTAATAAAAATATATAAATTATAAATTTTTAAATATGATTAAAGTATTTTAATTATATATTTTTTTTTTAAAAAAAAAGAAAGAACAAATAATCTGGAATGAACGAAAAATAGAAAGAATTAGACAAATTAAATGTGACGAATGAATTGTATTTTATTTGTATTTTTGTATTAAATTTTGATTTAAATAAGTTTTATATATAATATTTTATGTTAAATTATGATAAAGGATCATTTTATATAAAAGTTTAAACTTGTGAAAATTAGTTAGCATTTATTTATTTAAATTTTAGGAAAATCAACCAATATTTTGAAAGAAAAAATAGAATATAACAAATTATATATATATATATATATGCATGTGAGTGAGTGAGTGATGATCAGTCCAATTAGTGAAGATATACCCTTTTTTCATGTTCCACTCATCATCTCATCCCATCCTTTTAATTATTTTTGTACATCTATCCGTTTCACAAATTAAATATTTCTTAATTAATTCATTAATTAATGAAATCCAAGAAAACTATTAATTAATTAATTAATAATTTAATAAAATTAAAGACAGAAACTTGCAGACCCTTATTTAAAGCCCTCCTCCAATTAAACGTCAAACAGCCACCACTCATTTCAATTTCTAATTACATTCTCTGATCATTTCTGTCACAAAAATCTCACTTTAAGTAATTAATTCAAATTTAGCAATGGACGGCGGCAACAGGTCGGCGGCGGCGAAGGCAAAAAGGGGGAAATCCTCCGCCGGAAATAACAGTCAGCAAGATTCCGGCGCCGCCGCGGGAAACAGGTTTCTGGGCGTCCGGCGGCGGCCGTGGGGACGCTACGCGGCGGAGATACGCGACCCGACCACCAAAGAGCGCCACTGGCTGGGCACATTCGACACGGCGGAGGAGGCGGCGCTGGCCTACGACAGGGCGGCGCGGTCCATGCGCGGCTGCAAGGCCCGGACCAATTTCGTCTACTCCGACATGCCGCCGGGCTCCGCCGTCACTTCCATTATTTCCCCCGACGAGAGCCGCCACGACTTCTCCATGCTATTCCCCGCCGCCGCCTCTCAAATTTCCGACACGGCGGTGGACAACCACCACATGTTCTATTTCAGCGGCGGCGGCGGCGGGGGGAATGGAAACCCTAGCCATGTCCCCGGATTCCAGCTGACCGGAGACGCCTGGAATCAAGCAACCTACGGCGGCGCCGGCAGCGAGCTCCACCGCCGGGAAATTAATCCTCCGGCGGCGAATGATCAGCTCCCACCGTTGCCGCCGGACATCAGCTGCTACTCCGGGGAGCCGCCGGTGCTGTCGGAAATGGGACACGGAGTGGTGAATGAGATGAGATACGTGGAGCTGTCGGAGCAGCGGCGGAGCATGGACAGCGCCGCCGAGGCGTACGGTTACGGCGGGAATGAGGGTTTCGTGGGATACGAGGATTCCTCCATGGACGCCGCCAGAAGCAGCTTCTCCGCCTACGGTTGGTTCTGATCATCGATCATCCATAATTCACTAATTAATTATTTATTTAATTAAAAAATAAATTTTATTTTATATTATATATATATATATATGGGTGTGGAGGAATTTGTGTTGGGGTTTAGGATCCCAATGTTATGTTATTAGTGTAGTGTATGTGTCTTAATTAATTAAGCATTTTTCCATTGTCGTCTTCTTGCCATGTTTTAAATTATAACTATATATTTCTCCCTCTTCCATGTACTCATGGATCATGTTCCTTCATCGACATATATATATATATATGTAAACAAATATATTTATATATATATATATGGTCGGTTTGTTTAATTAAGAATATTTATTATTATGATTATTATTACTATAACTTTAACGTGGGAAAAGTTAACTAAGTATAAGGAGACTTCTAAGTAGGTTCGTGAATGCATAATTAATAATTAAATCACACTTTAAATTATACTTACTACTTTCATATATGATGCATATTTTGAATTGGAAATATGTTATTCATCTGATATTAGAAGAAGAAAAAAAAAGTACAATATAATAATAGTCCAAAATTATAATTTTAGAAGTTTGGAAAAAGTAAAATGTTAGTATTTAATTTCATATTTTGTGAAAGAAAAAATATATTTGATGTGATGTTTTTTAAAAAAATAAATAGTGTCAAATGAGTGAAAGTTTGTTGTGTAAACAAAGCTTTATTTAATATTAGTATTATATTGGATTATATTGAGAAAAAAACAAAAATGTTCCTATTAGTATTATGTAATATAAAAGTAATGACATTTTTGTAATATAATGGAAGTTAAAAAGATATTTATTAGGCCATCTCCAACCCATACTTCATTTTTGCAACAGCTACAGTAAAAATGCAGTTGGTCTACAGTCATTTTACTCCAACCACATACTTCAATTTTTACTGTATATTCCATATATATTCTTCCTTTTTAAGTAAAAATTGAAGTTTGTGGTTTGAGAAAAATGACTTTAGACCAACTGTATTTTTACTGTAGCTGATGCAAAACCTTATCCTAAAAAATAGTAGAAAAAATGGGGTTGGGTTAGAGTCCTAACCACCAGCGGGTTGGAGATAGTCTGATGTTAAATAGGTTGTACAATTACTAAATTAGAAAATGATAATCTTATTTTGAGATGAACGAAAATGAAAAATATCAATATTTCAATGGGATATAAATAGTATTATAATTTTAAACAATTAATATTTTATCATAATATAGACAAAATATGTTATGTTATATAAAAGTATATGCTATATGAGTTATATATTGTACTATAATCTGCTTAAGGTGTATTTAATTTGATGATTATGGTGGATAATATTATTATATTTAATTTAATAATATATTTATTATATATTATTATAACCTAGTATATAAAGTAAAATTTAATATAATAACATTAAAAGTAAGGATTATAAATCATTCTCTTATAAGTGGTATAAAATAATCCTGTGTTATTTCTTTGTTATAGTTTTATGTGTTTTGGAGTGAAATATAAAATTATAAAAATATTATAAAAAAATAATATTTTATGTGTTTTCATTAATTTTTACTATTATGTATTCAAATAAGAAAGGCATTAGCTTGTATTACACTATTGAAATAGACTCTCATTGTGTCACACAATAGACGATACTACTCCCTCTGTCCAATTTATATTATTTTAAAATATATTTGCACGATTTTTTAAGTGATTGTCTTTTTGTTATAAATTGAAAAATTTGTCCTTAATTACATTGTAGAGATTAAAAGTAAAAATGAATAAAGGGTAAAAATATAAAATTTGTGTTTGAAAAAAAAATAGGACAATAGTTATTTGACGTCTAAATAGGAAAGTATGACATTAGTTTGTGGACGAGGGAGTATTATATTTTATCATATTTTTATAATAATATAAAATAATATTATATTATTATTTTTGTATACTTATGTTTTAAAAATATAAATTAATTATTTAATTTGATTAAATTTTAATTAATTAGATAATAATGATATTTTAAATTAAACACTAGTGTTTTTTTTTTTAATTAATTGAATAATAGTAATGTTTCAAATTTTAAATGAGTCATTAAGGGTGTGTTTGATGTGATATAAATAGATGTTAATATGGTGTTTTGAATGTAAAATAAATTTATAATATAATATAAAAAAAAAAGTTATTGTTTGATTTTATATTTTGGAGGAAAAAAAAATTTTCAATAGTAAAAATATGTGGTAAAACCCACAAGAAAACACAATTTAATTTTTTTAATGACAAAATAATTACTCTCTTCGTCCCAACTAAATTGTCTTATTTAATTTAGGCACCAAGTTTTAGGCATTGTGTAATCAGTAAGTAACTAAAAAGTGTATTAGTGAAAATAATTACGATTTAATAAAAATAATTATAGATTAAGATGACTAAATAATTTAATTAAAATAAAAAAATTTATAAATTATGAATTTTAAAATGTGATTAAAGTGTATAATTATATTTTCGAAAAAAAAATTAACAAATTATGTGGATCGAACAAAAATAGAAATATGAGACAAATTAAATTAGACGGAGAGAATATTATATTATAAAAATTTATTATTAGTTGATAAAATCACCAATGATACGATTCCCGGTAAAATATAAGTCCATCCACCACTAGTTAATTGTGTTTGTTTGGGGGTTCGAATTTTGCATTTATATTTAAATAGTAAAAAATTTGAATTAGAACAATGACACGATGTGATATAAATAAATATTGATGTGATATTTTAAATATAAAATTAATTTTTAGTATAATATAAAAAATAAAAATTTAATTTGATATTTTTGGAGAAAAAATATTATTATTATTATTATTACTAGTGTATTGACCCGTGCGTTGCACGGCTTATACAATCTATTGCAATAATATTAGATAAATAATTCGTTATATTGTTAAATATTTGGCATGAAGATACAAATATTTTTCGGACCAATCAACAATTGATACAAAATTTACTATGTGATAATTTTTTGGTCGTGTCCATGAAAGTGGAGCTGATACTATAAATATAAAAGTACGATCTGTAAAAATATCAATAAACTCTCGTATTAATGATGTATCATTTTCCTGTCATATATGTGAAAGAAATATTAGTATGCTAAGATAATTAACAACAAAAAAATATATGTATATTTATACATGTAAAACATATCAGATCTTGTAAATTTTTGTAGGATGACTGGCATCGAAAAATGAATTGAGATTGTTTGTGGTGCAAATTTAAATCCATACTTCTGCTACCATCTTTTATCGTCAAATTAACATCGTATCTACATTAAAAATCGTATATGAAATATAAATATAATATAGTTGAATTATTACGTTGTATTTTTTTTATATAAAGAGAAATGATATTTTACCTTAAATTTGCTTCTACTGTATCGTTGCAATACATGCATACAATTTTTGTGAAGTGAACTTCACATAAATTTCTGCAATTGTTACATGTTGCAGTACACAGATTTTGAACATCGATATGCTTAATGCATCCAATAATATGGAAAAACTTGATCTTCATATAAAAAATATGAAATTTAAAATTATTAGTTGAGAAAATATATTATGGAAATCTAGTATGCAAAACTTACCCCTACTGATGATCAAGTATGCAAATTCTTTTTGCATTTGATATTTGAACTAATTTTGAAATAGGCAATGAATTTGTACGCAGAAATGATATCAATCATTGTGGTTTTTTATCATTATTGTACCTAGAAAAATTGACAAAAAAGATTAATAATAAAAAAGATTATTATTATTATTATTATTTAACTAGGTGAACTGAGATAGCCTAAAATTGGATATACACCACTTTGCGTCCGTTTGTTTGGGAGATTGAATTTTCGGTTGAAATATAAAAAATAAATATTTTTAATTAAAATAATTGTATAACGTAATTTAAATACATGTTAATGTGATATGTTAAATATAAAATTAATTTTTAATATAATAAAAAATAAATATTTAATTTGATATTTTTGAAAGTTTTTTATATATATATAAATAATAAAAATTTGAAAAAAAATTAATGAAAAAACACACCTATAAAATTGAAGGGGAGCTGAGGAGGGGCGAGCCATGTGGTCTCGGAAGTGGAAGGAATTTTGCTCCTAAAAATGCTCATGAAAAGTATTTATATCATTTAATTATTTAATATCCCAAAATTGGGGAGTAATGTTGGGTTGGCTGTTGGTTCAAATCTAATATATTAATCATTAATTACTTAGTCAAATTATTCATTCAAACTCTCTAATCATATATATATATATATCCATATACAGTAATTTCCCCACTTTTGCTCATTCATGTCACTTATATAAATAATACCCCTCCGTTCCAAATACACTGTCTGCTACACACATTGTATTTTAGGAAGGATGTAATTAGTAATAATTAAAAATGTATTAGTGAAAATAATTATTCTATATTATAAATAATTATAAATTAAAATTAAAATAACTAATTAGTTTAATTAAAATTTTAAAAAAAATAAAATTTAAAAATTTAAAATGAAATTAAAGTGCGTAATCATTTTCCAAAAAGGGAAAGTGACATGTAATGTGGGATGGACAGAAACGGCAACGTGGAAATGGTATCTGGGACTGAGAGAGTAATATTCTCTCTTCTCACTATTTTGCTCTAATTATTACTCTCCCCCTGTCCCAAAAAGACGAAGGGTTTCACAATTAGCTTATAGTTTTTAACTGTTAGCGGGTGTGACTAATTGATTCAATTAGCTTTTTGTATTAAAGTGTTTGGTAAAACAACGGTTTGATATTAGCTCTTTATAGATAAAATAACTATTAAGGACATATATGTTATTTTTTTAAAAAAATTAAATTTTTGAGAATTTTTGTTGTTAATTACTAAAAATTATAAAAATATTATAAAATATTTATTTTTATTTTTATTATTTAGATTTGAAAAAATTATTTTTATTAAAAATAATAATTTTTTATTGAAATTATGTAAAATGT